AAAAAAAAAAAAAAAAAAAAAGACACCCACCTGAAAAACAACCTGTATCAAGCTGCAGTCGATCGCCTGCACCTCACACCTCTGCTGCTCTCCTAAGTATTCTGCATTGAGGCTCTGTCCAACCCTGTATACGGTCAAATGAGGGTACGGCCAGTCCTTCATGTACTGTTTCATAAAATGCTTATGAAGGCCATCGGGAATGTCGTCAAACATGTTTTCCACTGTTGAAATAATAAATTAAATACGTAAGCGTGCTTCAAATAAACACTCTCCTGTCTGCTGCTGAAAAAAAAAGCCGGAACACAGCACAACTTACACGGTCTGCAAACCAGGTGAAAAAAAGGTAAGCCGACATAGACCGGCGTGTGATCATCCATAAAGACCAAGAACCTGGAAAATTAAACAGCGATGTGTGAGACACTCATTTCTTCTGACAAAAAGCCCGTGATTATGTTTGTTCATAGAGGTATGAACACCTGAAGTGGTTCTTTCTGCTGGGGAGCTCGGCTAAAACACCAGGCCGGAACCGGAACTTGTTATCCTGGCACTGAACAACAACCCGAGTGCCGACAAAAAGATGCTCTACCTTTGGTGGGGTGTCAAAGGCAATGTGGTGACCGGATACTAGAATCTTCCCCTTTTCTTCAAAGCTAACTTTGTACTTTAACCGTCCATCTTCTGGTAAAGAGGAAGAAGAAAAAATTTAGTTCCTATCATTTAAATGCTATTTCCTTTTTGAATAATGGTGGTTCATATTTGAAAGTGAAGTGCTGCTGTCTGAACACATGTCAGCCCTGCCTAGATTTTACCGCATGTACTTCACAAATTAGAAAGAAAATGAAAATGCATCTTTTATAAACAGGAACAACGTATTTTAAGTTATTATTCGCCATTTGTTTTTTTTCTAGTGTCTTTTTAACGTTTCATTTTTCTTTGCCTTTCATTTTCAGTTTATTTAACAAGGGTTCAAATTCTTTGAATTGCTCTGGAGCACTTTGGTCAATGTCCTTTTTAAAAAATTGAAGTTGCTGGCTCATGCAGTGACAAACGCAGAAAACTAAGGATAATAAAAAAAAAAAGTGGTTATACTTCATTAGGTCATGCCCACAAGTGCAACAGTTTTTCTGCATGCACCATGACTCTATCACTATCCTAAATATGTCCAATGGAAGCAGTGCACCCTGTAATTGACTGATGTCCAGAGTGTGCAATCCTCTCGCCCACTGCCAGCTAAATATGAGAAAAAAGCTGAAAATCTTAACCACACTAAGGTCACATCCTTAAATGTGTATATTTTGGTGCACAAGAATCCATCGCTTACAGATATTTTCTTTATTGTATTTAAATTGTAAAGCGCTTTGAGGGTCTCGAAAAGCGCTATATAAATGCAATCCATTATTGTTATTATCATGATTGTTGGGTTTTTCTCTGTATGTATTGTTTTAGGGTCTACCTTACAATATAAAGCGCCTTGAGGTGTCTGGTGTTGTGATTTGGGGCTGTATAAATAAAATTGCATTGAATTGAATTGAATGAAATGCTCTCATCTGAAAAGGACTAACAAGTTTAAAGGATAATAAACAAACAAACAAAGAAAATCATAATTCCTGGAAAACCTGCAGTATTTTCTCTTACCCTTTGTAATTGTCTCCACTATTTTCCCACGCTGCCACTTCATGCGTTTCTTCCTGGCCAAGACCATCATGTCCACTTTCACTTCATCCTGCGGTAAGTTAGGATGGATGTTCGTAGTTTCATGAGAGCAGTGGGCAGAAGTTGGTGATATCCCAACAGAGGGGTTTATTTCTTTGAGGGCAAAAGTAAGAAGTGGAATTTTAAAGTTATTTGAGAGTTTTGAGAGCAGGATTCAAGTGGTAATGTTTGTGGCCTTACCACTGCTGTTGGAGGGTTTCCTTGTGTCACCGCTGGTGTTCTTGTCAGATTTCTGATTATTGTTCGAAACCGAAAAATCGGAATCAGTGGAGTCATCCTCTGGTTGCCACTGCATATCAGAATCGGAGCTGCCGGAGAATTCTTCTTCGCTGTAGAACTGTTGAGGCGTCGGCGGTTGCAGGGCGCTGATCTTATAATCGGGCAGTCTGGTCAAGACCACCACCGCTTTCTTTATTAGATTAAGAGAGGCCGAGCCATTTTCCCATTGTGTCATTTGGCTGCTGGTTTCATTTGTGGAGTGAATGGGCTCACATGCCGATTCAGACATAGTGTCTGAAAAGAAAAACGCATCAGTGAAAGTTGAGCCATCGCTATGCCAGACTTTCATCGTGGTGAGAACAAATCCTGACAACTGTAGCTCGCCATCAAAAGAAAATAAAAATGCTATCAATCAAATTCACATTTAACTTTTGTTAAAGCTGTCTTTTCTGTGTGTCAGAGGAGTCCACTGATTTTCACTCTATACAATATATGGTTGCTTAAATATAATTCCCAAGGGGACAAAGGCTTTTTCACCCTCTGTGGTCTGACTCTTCATTGATAATGACCTCAACCTTTTGGCTCAATCTCGAAGGCCATGATTGTAATTTCCATGCTCACAACGGTCCACTTGGTTTTTGTTTGTTTGTTTTTTTTTATTACATAAACCCAAAACCTGTGCTGTCAGGTTAAGAATTAGAGGTTTAAAATCTAATTAGGTGCAAAAATCAGCACATTTTTAAACTACCATCTGCCGCTGGTTTGTTTTACACAACAACAGCGCAACTAAATTAATCAGAAGCTAGAAAAAAAGCCTTCTGTTTACAGATAAGCTGTTAGATCTTTAAATTTGCCAGATTTCTTGTTACCCGTGCAGCAAATTGACAGCAGCCACTGGATCTCTTTCTAGCAGCGATACTTGTAGCCTTAAGTGGGGCACAGCATTTACTGTACTGCATTTTAAAGCACTACTTAATAAGTCAGTAGTAAATATACAGGGCCAGTAAAATACTGATCCAGTAGCCGGGTTGAGCCAGGAGGGAAAATGTTGAACATGCCCTGGTTGCCACTGAAATTGAAATTAACTTGGATAATGCTTCAAAATAAGTGGACAACAGTGACCCGAGAGCCTTTTCTAAACATCTCTTTAAGACAGGGGTGTCCAACTCCAGGCCTCAAGGGTCAGTGTCCTGCAGGTTTTAGATGGGTCCTTGATCCAACACAGCTGATTTAAATTACTAATTACCTCCTCAACATGTCTTGAAGTTCTCCAGAGGCCTGGTAATGAACTAATTATTTGATTCAGGTATGTTGACCCAGGCTAAGGTCTAAAACCTGCAGGACACACCTGCTTTAAGACCACACACCATTGTCAAAATATTATGATGAAAATAAAGTGAATAAAGTGGAGTAAAACATAAACAGAAAGAATAAAAAATATATATATATCACATGCAAAATATAACACTCCAAATGGCAGTGACTCAGTCAAGCCAGCCACTAACTGTAGAAATACCTGGTGTCAGAGCTCAGCTCACAGCAGCATGTTTTAAAGGAGTGGCCAGGAGCAGCTGGAGAGTAGACAGAATCTGCTGTTTCATTAAAGCGCCATCCAGCTGTACCTGTGTGAGTAACTCAGTTTAACTTAGCAAGTTTGTTGCGTAATGTCTTAAAAGTATGTGACATGCGAGCAGTGAGAATGTATAACTTTAATGTTTGTGACAGTACAATCAGAAAAAGATATGACTTGTCTAAAGGGCTGCAGGAGAAAGCCTTTTCTCTTTAAGAAAGAACATGGGAGCACTGCGTAGGTTTGCAGAGTTGCATCTGAACAAACCAGATGATTTATGGAACGATGTGCTTTAGAAAGATGAGCCCCAAAGTGGAGATGTTTGGCCATAATGCACATCATATTAGCACAAACACGTATCAGTCAAACTGGCTGAAATGCTGTGGCAGAACTGTGTATAAATGAATGCATAGAAACCTAATTAAACTGAAGCAACATTGTAAAGAGGAAGTCATACAGAAAACATTTGCATTTTCATTTTTTAATATCTGGATCAGCATTAGCACCAATGCCAAGTGGCAACTCCTTGTAAGTGAAACTGTTTTTCGCAAAAACAAACAAAAAACATGTGACATCACTGTGTCCTGAAGCCCTGAGAATGAATCAGAAAATGTGAACTTTTTTGTTTTTGCTGCTACAGGAGTGCTGTAGCACCAGGAGACTCTAATGAAAGCTGTTTAAAGGGCTACAACTGTGCCTACTGAGAACGAACAAATAACAAAACAAAGCTGTGTTTAGACACATTTCCTACCTACAATCAAGCTGCGTGGGGGTTTAACTCATTTAATACAAACACAAATAATTCAACCACTTACCTGACGTTATGTCTTAATTATCCGCTGTAATTAGAGCTAAAGTGAGAGCTGGAGCGGCAGCTAACGGCAGGCTAACACTGAAATCACCGTTTTGGAGTTTGCGTCAAAACTGCACCTTTTTTTTTCTTTTCTTTTTTTTTTTGATAAATATGTGTTATCCAAAATTATCAGGCAGGTTTTTCCTCCATCCTAACAGACGTTATTTTTCTCCTTCTTCTCGGCGTTCAAAAGTGGTTGTCAACAAATGAATCTGAGAAGTGCTGCCCCCTATCGTCGTCTCCTCGGTATTGTCCTCCGGCACACGCCATTTTGACTGCAGGCTTGTACTAGCAGTCTACGAAAACTTAAATAATATGATCCCTTTTATTATTTATATAAGTTTATGTTAAGAAGCAGGTGCAAACAATATTTTAGACATTGTAACACTATAGGGAGAAAGGAAAAACTACAATCAAGTCCTCGCTGATTAAATAGTGGTATGTTCTTTTAGTTAATAAAATCAACCATATTCTCAAGTGGACATATATTACACTTCGAATCTATAAATAGTCTTTTTATGATGGTTGCTCTCGCTTACGGCCATACCACCCTGAACACGCCCGATCTCGTCTGATCTCGGAAGCTAAGCAGGGTCGGGCCTGGTCAGTACTTGGATGGGAGACCGCCTGGGAATACCAGGTGCTGTAAGCTTTTCCTCTTTAGTCCAGCAGAGGGCGCTACTGCTCCAGGGGAGACAGTGTTGAAGCAGCAGCCAGGGTAACAAAGAGCGCATTGAAACCACTCATGCTGAATTAAATAATGGTTTGGAGCATAGACGGTCCACACAGAAAAAGTTTTGTATGACAAAAGCTAAACTAGAAGACAGAACTAGGTGAAGAAAAACACGTTAGTTGACCAAAGTAAACAAAAAACAAAAAAACAAAACTAGATTTCAGTTTTTCCCCAAATATGGAGGGAACCATGGTAGCCAGGCTTTTTTAATCTCTTGCCTCTTTAGTTTAGTTTATGCCTCAGACAGAAACTAAATATTTTCAAAACAATGAAAGCTAAACTGAAACGAGCAGCTTCCCCACTCTGGAAATTCGAGGAACTGAAAGTTAGAAACTGAACATATTTGAATACAAACCTGTTTTCCTTCTTTTGCCCTCACTCTGGTTTTGCTGTTGGTTGTTGCTCTTGTGACCAGTCTGTAAAAACCTTCATAGTAACTGTAAGTCCTGCCCACAGCGGTGCTGGAGGACTGTAGGGAAACATGAGCTCCTTTGGATTGTTGATTAATTGTGAGTATGAACACAGAAGATGCATCACATTTAAACAGTTTGACGTACAGAAAAAGAAAACCTGAAATTTGCTAGTTGCAAATTTAATGAGAAATACTTGTGAGAAACATTTTCAGTAACAACCCAACAAAGGCCAAAAGCCTTAAACATGACAGATCTTTGTGTTAATGCTTGGAGCAAAGTCTGATTTTAACAGCTTGGTGCTTCGAGCCCTCAGTCTGAAACACTGAAAAGCATCACGATGCACGCCTCACGTCTTCCATGAGACTGCTTGCTTTTTGCTCAATGTCCTGAAGCTTTTCTGTACATACATTATAAACCACATGATCTTAAAAGTATGCACCCACACAGCGGTAAGATTGCACTCTCCCCCCACCCTTTCTCCCTCTCTCTCTCAGGTGATCTGCTCCTCCTGGTAGGTGGAAGTGGAGATCGAGCCATAAGGGTCCACGACGGTCTGGGCGCAGCGTACCACCGTCACCAGAAGGAAGAAACACAGCAGGAAGAGGAAGAAGAGAGCGAAGCCCAGGTCCACGTCCACCTCGAACTGCGGCACGGGGTGAGACGGCTTATCCATGTGGTCAGCGATAATGGTGAAGGGAGACCGTTTCCGTTTCTTCTCCTTTTTTCAGCGCAGCAGCATCACTTTGGGACGGTGGGCATGCTCGTGTGCTTTCAAGGTGTTGGTGGTGACTTTGCGCATGAAAGAAAAAAGGTGACAAAGAGCTTCTGAATACAGAGGCAGCACATAACCAATGAAGTCTATCCTGGCTGCATGGAGGACGACACTTTCAATGCAGAAGCAAATGTCTGGTTTTTATTCCGATCGGCAGCAGTTTGTCACATTTCTGTGTCTAACAAAGGGAGGGAAAAACACCTGGAAAAACCGTTACAATGCAAAATATTCCACCATAGATTTACATGTTGCACCTGCAGGGCTATCTTATCGGTGAGCCCATAAAAACTGCAGTGAATCACTTCGAATCAGTTGTTAATTACAGTTTATCCAGCAAGTCTTCCCCATTACTTGTTCATTAAGGAGAATTACAACATTTGAAAAGCCGAAGAAGTGTTTGTAAATGACTGATAGACTCTTTTCGTCTTTAATAATCACCACTTTCTAATTTTCTCCTGCAGGAACAGGCACAGTAGCTCTCGCTAAACTAATGATCAAAACGTCCACAGCTGTCTGGACACATTTCTTGAGACACATTTTCCAAACTACAGTCGCTAAACTCGTGACTCTTCTGGCAAAACCTCACAAACACATGAAAACTGCTTTTGTCTGCGTCATCCCCGCAACAGGTCATAATAACCACAGTATGCAGCATTCATTACACACAAAGTACAAAAAGGTGTGTGTTTAGGATATATTTTCAACATCGCGTGGTCGTCTTGTAATTTTGCAACCACCGCATTGATGATTTAGTAGGTCACCAAGCTCATGATCCATCATAATTCAGTTTATTGGCTGTAAAGCTACAAATGTGACCTTAACCTTAAGCACAGTTTGCTTGTTATGTGTTCGCTGTGTGCAAGTTTCACTAAACATCCTACCAGTGTTCCTGCAGGAGCAGCAGTAATTTGCCTGGATGAGCTAAAAATGACAAAAATATGACATAAAAACACAAACAGACCCTCCCCGAACTTTATATTGTGTAGACGTACCAAAGCACTGGTTTATACAGGAATACGCAATAAATGTTAATGTTTTAAATGTACAGCAGAGCTCTCTTACTATATATCAACATAAGAGAAAAATATTGAGACACTTTTTGTAAGTAAATTATTCTCTGAGGCATCCATTTCTTTTTTTCTTCAGCTCGACCTCGCTCTGACCTGCCACCAGTTTGAACGGCAACTTAAGCAACAAGTGTGAGCAACATTTGTTACTGTGTGAAGCTCACTGTGCGAAAATGTGTTTCAGCGAACTTTGAAAACAAAGTTGAGTGAGATCTGTAAATCGTGCCTAATGAGGCGAAAACTGCTTTAAAGTTTTCCCCAAAGAGCGACTGAATCAATAAATTATCTGAGGACACTGAGGATGAGTAAAGTTAAACATGTATCCAAGAACCCCCACCCCCCAAAAAACCCCCAAAAAACTGAAATAATTCAAACTCACCATCCGTACTTTTCGCTGCAGATCCTCTCCAACAAAACTTTTCAAAAGTGTTCATAGCATCCTGCTTTCCTCTGAGGCTCCTTATTACTCCGATTACATGAGCCGGTCCTCAGTTACCAAAGTCTTTACCAGCCTCCTCTTTCGTGATTGTCAAGAAAAATGAGCGGCCCACAAATTAGCTCTTGCACTCAGAGACACATGCATACACATGCAAGATGCACAAGCATGCACTTGCATCTCACGACCTCCCCAGGGCATGTAAAGCCTTATTAATACTTAAGCAGGAATTGAATAACGGTCTACACAGTTCACAAGTGACTCAAACACCCCACTGCTTTTGTTGTCCTGTCAGGAGGATCTTCATCACTGTCACCGATTAGACTTCACACCAGCAAAACTGCGGCACCTCAGGTGAAACTGAGCTTATTCTTTTCACAGAGCTGAAAAGGTAGCGAGGGAAGGAGGGGGAAACTTGATGGTAGAGCAAAAGGAAGAGATTTAAGCAAGAGGAGTAAGATTGTACCCAGAGGAGGGGAGGGTGGGGGGGTTGGCAGCATGGAAAGGAAAGCCAGAGGAGCAGAAACAGGAGATGCATTAGCAATTAAATTGCAGAGCAGGATGCGAGAGAAGGATGGAAATTGACCCTGCCACTTTAAAATGGAGATTGTTACAGTGATGCTGCCAGTGACATGAACAGTGTGCAGGCTGTAGTGTAGGGCACGGCCGTAAAGTGATCCCACTCAATATGCAATTAGGTAAGGAGGCCTTTTAGACTGAAGCCAAAATACTGTAGGGAAGAGAGAGATGGGCGGAGGAAGAATCCAGAAGTGGTTACGTCTTAGGATCTTAAATTTTAAACTTTTAGACACTTTTTTTTGTTTGTTTTTAGGACAACTGGGAAAAAAAAAAAAATCGGAGAACAATTTTGGCATCATTCATCATCTTGAAAAATGTGCCAGGCGGCTGTGTGTCACCAGCACTTTGTGCCATCTGATATTGTAAAAGCTCCACGGTGCCTCCGGGTCTACACCAGCAGAACCAGTGACTGATGTACAGTATTCATGTCAGAATGCATTTACTCCACCTACACAGGGCTCCTTAATGATGACCATATCATTTTGTGTTCCAAAGAAAGGATTCTCAGATCCGCACATTCAGATGAGAGAGAATGGGAATAATGACAGACTATGAATGGGACTGTTTTCATGTAATACAAATAGTTTATGGAAAAGAACAAAAATGAGAAAAGAGAAAAAAAAAAAAGGTCTGAGTAAAACTTTTAGGACTATCAGCTACTTTAACTTTTTTTTAAAAGACCCCCAAAAAGCTGAAAAATGTCCAGTATGTGTACATGCCGTATAATTTGTGTCAGTAACAGGCTTCTGACAAAACTGCACTATACATTTTTTTTATGTATTTATTTAAGATATGTAAAAAGTGATATAAGTGCATAAATACAGAAAAAAGGTCATTCTGGTTGCTAGGCAATACATGGTAACATCATGTGGTTTTCTGAATTAGAGAAAGATTTTTTTTTTTAAATATAAATGTTACATTTTTGGGAGGGCTGTCAGTTAGCCAGTTTTACGTAATGACAAAATAAATGAATAATAATTTTGATTTACCAAATATGTTTTTTTCAGTCAAACATATTTGTAAACACACACACAAAAAATTCCAACTGTAAACAAAATAAGGAATTAGGGGTTTTCCCCGGGGCCGAGAGCTCTATATATATGAGATATTCTGTGTCTTTTTGTCATATTTTTGTCGTGTGTGCGTGTTCTGGGGGGCTCTAAGCGCTGTTCTGGGGAAATATAGTATAAAATATATATATACAAGCACCAATCGACCAGTCTAATCT